GAGGAGGGGGAGGAGCAGGAGGAGGACGGAGAAGGAGGAGGAGGAGGAGGAGAAGGAGGAGGAGGAGGAGGAGGAGGAGGAGGAGGAGGAGGAGGAGGAGGAGGAGGAGGAGGAGGAGGAGGAGGAGGATGAGCAGGATGAGGAGGAGATGCAGGAGGAGGAGGAGGGGGAGGAGCAGGAGGAGGACGAGAAGGAGGAGGAGGAGGAGAAGGAGGAGGAGGAGGAGCAGGAGGAGGAGGAGGAGGAGGAGGAGGAGGAGGAGGAGGAGGAGGAGGAGGAGGAGGAGGAGGACGCGCGAGGGCGTCGCGGCCGCGAGGAGGTCGCGGCGGCGGCGCGGCGGGCGGCGACACGCCGCGGCGCCTCCGCAGGCCAGCGGCGCGGCCCGGCTCGGGGCCACCGTCGTGGGCGGCGGAAGCCTGCAGCGGCCGCCCCGCGTCGCGGGGGGTCGGTCGGAGGGGCGGGGCGGTCGTCCGCGCGGGGTCGGTCGGCGGTCGCGGGCGGCGAGCGCACAGCTCGCCATCGCTCCTCCCTCCTCTCCCTCCTCGTCACTCCTCTCCCTCCTCGCTCCTCACTCCTCCCGCCTCCTAACTCCTCGCTCGTCGCTCCTCGCTCCTCTCCTCCTCCTCCCTCCTCACTCCTCTCCCTCCTCTCCCTCCTCTCCCTCCTCGCTCCTCTCCCCCGCACTCCTCGTCCATCTCTCAGGGTCCCCAGGTGCGTCTCACGGCTCCTGCAGATCGCCGCGAGGTCGGCGGTCGTCCGCGCAGCAGGGGGTCGGCGGTCGCGGGCGGCGAGCGCACAGTGGACATATACGGTCAGGAACTTCTTGTGCTTTGAGGGATGAAAAAAACGACCCTACCCTGGGTTACAAGTGCGTGGTCTGTAAACCTCCTGGGAACCCCCAAAGCCTAGAGCCACCAGGACGCAGCACATCACGCAGGGCTTACCATGTCAGCCCATAGGAGTTTCAGCGCACAGCGCCTCGTAAACCAGGGTAGGGGCGTTTTTAAGGCCCTTGATGTGCCTAGCGTATCGCGGCCCCCTGAGATCAAGGCGACGTCGAACAAATACCGAAACTCTCGAGTGAACGTTAGGTCGGGCATGCCCTCCTACAGGCGGATTTTGGAAAAAGGTAGAACAATTCCAACAGTAATCAGCTTTAGTCCAAAACGCATGAACAATCGTGACCATACTATCTCTTTACTGCTCTTGAATCTTCCTCCTGTACAGGGACATGCCCAACTCAAAGTGAACGCTGCCCTCGCCCTCCTCCTCTCCCTCCTCACTCCTCTCCCTCCCTTTTATCTGCAGCCCAGGCTCCTGATGTCTTCCATCTTTTACTCGCACAGGGCCTCGCGAGGCCCCAGCAGACAGAGCACGCCTCGAGCCAAGCCTGCGGCAAACCATAATTAGCCCGGCGAAGGACCCAACATATGCAGTTGTGAATTTCGTCGTTGTTAGTATCGCCTTCGGTGGATCTCCCTATGAGGCCACGAATCGCGTGACGAGTGTAGCGCAATGGGGCGCGGCCGCCATTGGCGCTGCTACTGGGGCCTGATGTGGAGCCCCATGTATGGGGTCACGAAACGTGTGAGGGGTGTGCCAAGATGGGGCGGCGGCGCCAAGCGGACTGCGCCACTGAGACCTGAGGTGGAGCTCCCTATGGGGCCACGAAGCGTGTGAGGGGTGTGCCAAAATGGTGCGGCGGCGCCATGCGGACTGCGCCAGTGGGACCTTGGGTGGAGCTCCCTATGGGGACACGAAACGTGTGAGGGGTGTGCCAAAATGGGGCGGCAGCGCCATGCGGACTGCGCCTCTGGGAGACCTGAGGTGGAGCTCCCTTTTGGGGCCACGAAGCGTGTGAGGGGTGTGCCAAAATGCCAAGATGGGGCGGCGGCGCCATGTGGACTGCGCTGCGCCACTGAGACCTGAAGTGGAGCTCCCTATGGGGCCACGAAACGTGAGAGGGGTGTGCCAAAATGGTGCGGCGGCGCCATGCGGACTGCGCCAGTGGGACCTTGGGTGTGGCGAAGACGATGACGATGATGGTGATGATGATGGTGATGGCGATGATGACGGCCATGATGATGCTGATGATGCTGATGATGATGTTGATGGTGATGATGCTGCTGATGCTGCTGCTGATGTTGTTGATGATGACGGCCATGATGTTGTTGTTGATGATGGTGACGACGATTACGATGATGATGACGATGACGATGACGACGATGACGATGATGATGATGATGATGATGATGATGATGATGATGATGATGATGATGATGATGATGATGATGATGATGATGATGATGATGATGACTGATGATGATGATGATGATGATGATGATGATGATGATGATGATGATGATGATGATGATGATGATGATGATGATGATGATGATGATGATGATGATGATGCTGATGATGATGATGATGATGAGAGGAGGAGGGGGAGAAGGAGGAGAGGAGAGAGGAGGAGGAGGAGGAGGAGGAGGAGGAGGAGGAGGAGGAGGAGGAGAGGAGGAGGGACGCGCGGCGCTGTTTCTTCAAAACGAGGACCCAACATCACGGGATGGTTGGGGAAAAAACACTCGTGGTACGAAGAGAAATCTTGCTATAAGAAATGGGAGGTGGGGGGAGCGCACTCTTCGTCCATCTCTCAGGGTCTCCAGGTGCGCCACGGCTTCTGCAGATCGCCGCGAGGTCGGCGGTCGTCCGCGCAGTGGGTCGGCGGTCGCGGGCGGCGAGCGCACGTTGGACACACATACGGTCAGGAACTTCTTGTGAATAGCGTGTCGCGGCGGCGGCCCCGGCGACACGCCGTGCCTCGCAAGCTGATGGCATGTCGCTCCGCCTCGCGGGGCGGGGTGCGGGAACAAAACTTGGGACGTTGACGCCTGGGAACGGAGAAGTGGATGACGTGCCGTGCCGACGCGCGGTGGGCGCACAGCTCGCCATCGCTCGGGCGTCCGCTGCCCGTGCGTGGACTCTTGTCGCAGGGTGGCCCAAGAGTGCTCCTCGAGGGCCCTCGCCAAGAAACGCATGCACGCGTTCGAGCGATGCCGAGAGACAGTGGGCACGGGATTAGAAGTTGCCGTGCTTTCAGTTGGGCTGTACAGAACAGAGGGTCGTTTCACGAGGCCTGAGCTCACGTGAACGTTTCTTTCTTCGGCGTTTCGACATTGGGCTGAAGGGGGGGAGGAGGGGGGGGGTCTTGTTCCGGACCTCTGCTTAGTGCGACTGTTTTGGACCGTGCGTCCTATGGGGGAGACTCCACCTGCTCGAAACAGGCGCCAAAAACAGCCAAGATCTACTCCATGGGGGGATGGGGGGGATGGGGTGCGAGGGCCCGCGCCGATCGGCAAAAGAACGAATCAGAGAACGATCACCACCTGCCAGTGGACAGGCTTCTGCTTCGCACACGGCTCTGCTCTTTGACGCCTCGCTGTCACGCCCCAGCAACGCGGTCCTTCTGACGGGCCAGAGAGCCCGCCCCCCGACGGTACGGCAGGTTCGCGACGTGGCGACATCGGCGTGGTGATTCCTGACCACCGCGGGTTCAGCCTTGAACGATCGGCCATTCCCGAAACGTCCGATCTTTCAGCATCGGCCGAGTCTAGGTCGCCGGCGGCGCTCCACGTCGCATGCCCGCGGCGGGGTCGCCGCCGGTCGACACGACGTAAAGCTACCGTACGATGAGAAGCTACGGGAAATGGGTCGAGACCTCCGAGGGGCTCGGAGCACCCTGAGATCCTGGCGTCGCATTCTTGTCGAGGCGGGCGTTTTCGTGTAGCTCCCAGCTCGACAGATGCAGAAGAAAGATGTGGTCCAGGGCCCTGGTCGTGTTTTTTGTTTTGTCGCGATCTTGCCATCTTTCCTCGTCGTCGGTTCTCGCAGGGTCTGCTGCAGGATCTCGCCTGGCCCGTGGCAGTGGTCAACAACATCGGCGCGCCTCGGCCCCCCCGGGGAGCCCCGAGGCTCCCCGGAACAAATGCCACCCTCTCTTCCTCCGTTTTTCTGCCCACGCCCCCTTCCCTGGCTTGGGGCTGGCATGTTCAACAGCCAATACCGAGTACAGCCAGGAGGGGAAGATGCATGGGATTTGAGGCACGTTGCGTCGGGCTTCTTCACAATCGCCGGAAAACATATGCATGCCCACGCGTTCCTGCGGTGGTGCTGATGGGGGACAAGGTGACGTGTGTCGAGACAGGTTGGGCGACGCATTCGTGGACATGGAGGCAGGGGGGGACAGAGGCAGGTGGGGAGGAAGGACGAGGAAAGGGATGAATGTCATGAGGGATGGAAAGATTGAAGGGGCCCCAGGACACACAAATAAATACACACAAATAAAAATATCCCCCATATTTTCCCACATTTTATGGGTTTTTGTCTTCACCCCCACTTCCCATATTTTCCTATATTTTCTGTCTGAGGAATCGACGATTAATTGTGTCTGTGTGTTTTTTCCCCTCCTGAAAGATGCCGCGGGGCGAGGGAGAGAGGCAGCGAGAGGATCGCCTGGCCATGCGATGCCACCCCCCTCTTTCCTTCAGCGTCAGCCCGCGACGAAGGGCCGAAGAAAGTGCGCGGGCAAATCGAGCAACGACCCTAAGCCCTGAATGTGTGCTCTCGCGTCCTCCCCCTCCCCCTCTCCTCCCCGTACCTCTCTCCCAGGCCTTCACTCCTCCTCCTCCCCCCCTACCTCCCGCCGTGCCCGCTGCGCTTGCCGCCGGAGGCGGGTGCCCGCGGCCCCACGCCAGCAGATGCCTGGGCCTCAGACTGCGAGCGACGCCTGAGTCTCGAGAGCCGCAGCTCGCACTCCCCGGACCTCCCGGCGTCGCGAGAACGATCACGACGGGCGTGTTGTTCATGATTTCGGTCTTGGTGGACCCAAGACGATCGAAGAACAACTCGTGTTGAGAAATCAGTCCCTGGGATGGGGTCGAGAGCCCTGGGGACCTCATCGCGAGCAATCATGACGTTGGAGGTCTGGACCGCATATGCTAGCCAACGATGCGCATCATGAACACTGAACAGTCGTCGCCGTGGAACCCGTCTTCGCACTGGCAAACGCCACCTGTGCAAGTGCCCCTCCCGGAACATTGGTTTAGGCAACCTAGCTGGTCACACTTATGCCCCCCCCAAGGAGGCAAACAATGGCACTGGTGGATGGGGAAATCTTCGACACAGATACCGTGCACGTCCGTTGGGGTGGACGAGCAGTTGTCCTCACACAGGTATGCAGAGCAGTCGTCGAAGCCCCAGCCTGGAAGACAGACGCAAGCACCACGCACGCACTTGCCATGTTGTGAACATTCCACACAAAATTGCTCCCTCGTCTTGGAATGAGTGTAGCAAGTTGAACCAGGACATCGGGGCATCGAGCAATCGATGCCATACCAACCTGGTCTACATATGCATTGGCTCATCTCGCACACGCCATTGCCACTGCAACCGCCCACACACTTGTTCGTATCGAATACCCAAACTCCGTCCATGACGTCGACGGTAAAGTCGGCCTGGAACTGCTTCGCTGAGCAGGTTGAGCGGCACATTGTACTGATGGCAGTCACGTTTAGCGCACCCGCCTCCGTTCGGATCTGTATGTTGTCCAATACGCTGGGTGGCCACACCGTTTGGTTGTCCGCTGGGGGCCAGAACTCCGTCAACTGGCAGCAGAAATCCGTGTCTCGGCACTTCGCCTGCATCGCATTCAGAAACTCGGCTTCGGGAAGGCCGCTGTAGCTCTCTGGCAGGCCCTGTGCGTCTTTGAAGCATCGCCGGTCGGAGTTGCGCAGGATATCGGTGTTGCTCGCGTTCGTCTCCAGCCAGTGCAGGCCTCCGAACAGCACCATGACGTCCGCCACGTGGTCGTACACCATCGTGTGGTACGCGACCGCAGGGGGCCTGTCTCCTTGAATGTAGGGGTCTATCTGGAACCACTCGCCATCGTCTCCAGTTCGGCTCAGATCGAGAATCCACATGTCCGAGTACGGGACATCCTGGTAATGCCCACCGAACAGAACAAGCTGGGTGTCGTTAGTCTCAGCACGACGTGCGACCATAGTGTGGCCTCGTCGAGAAGGCGGCAAAGTTCCAGAAGTCGGCCGTGTGACCCATTGGTCTGTTGTGTCACGGTATATCCACAAATCGTCGAAGTAATATTGATTTTGGCACGATCCCGTCCCCAATGTAGATGTGCTGGAAGCGCCCGCACTTCCACTGCTCGAGCTTGAATTTGCAATTGCGTAGGTTTGGCCTCCATGCACTACGGTCAGCACTGGTTCTTCCGTTGTGCCATCGTAGGAACCATCCACTGACGACTCCTCGCCGCTCGTAGTCTCTGTCTCAGATGCAGTCACGGTGCTTGATACTTGTGTTGTCGTCGTTGCTGTGGCCGCTCCGAGAAATGGATTGATGACGGCATACGTAGTTGTCACAGTGGATGTCGTAGTCGTTGGAGCTGTTGTCGAAGCCACTGTAGTGTCTGCGTAGCCCCATGGAAAGGTACCAATCACTGAGTTCACAGTCGTTCCAGAATTGCCTGGACTTTGTGTGCTACCACCGACGTCCCCGAATAACGCCTGGTCGCCGAACATAGTAGTCGTAGTGATCGTCGGTGGTGCAATAGTGGTTGTGGTTGTTGTGTAGCAAACCTCGGAGTCATAATCCGAACCCCACGTTGTCCTGTATCCACCGAACATGACCATGGCATGTTTGGCTACACCCTCATCTGGATCTGCGAAGACGACCATGCCGAAATCTCCACGGTCCGTCGGCATGTTGGCACCCTCTGACCGCCTCGCGGTCCGCAAACCACACTGCGGACATTGCGCGCAATGCTCATAATTGCCGTCAGTCCGATTCTGGGCTTCACAATCCACATCGACCCCTTCGATATCTGCCACCGCGCCCCCTGGCACGTTGCGTACAGTCGTGGTAAGATGCCGAAGGCTGCGAAGCCCCTGCCCCTCATACTTGCACCTCCCGAAACTCCCTCGGCACCCCGCCGCCTTCATGGGGCTCCCCAGAGCTTCCGCGACGGCCCTGGAAGGCCACCACAGCCGCCTGGCTCACCATTGCTTCACTACTCTGAGTTTCTTAATACGCGTCGGGGGGGGCGTCACCCCCGCCGACAGCCCCACATCGACCCCCGTCGCGGGCAGCCACCGCGTGCCGAAGGCGCTCCGACCCCCGTCGCGGCGCGACGACGAGGCGACGTTGATCCCCGTCGGGAGGGTACCCTCCCACACTTATTGAGAAACCCAGAGTATGCGTCCAGCAGCCCCCAAGAGGCGCCATAAACGCCCCGAGAGGCTTCCAAGACACCAGGGGGAATGCCACCCTGTCCTCCAAGAGGGCCAGCCTCACTCAAACCCTAAGGGATTCCTCAAGTTTACCAGATGCCTGCCAGCATGAGCCCATCCCATTGGGTTCTTGCAGCCTCGATGTGCGCCGCATGCGGTGCAACATCAGTTGTGCAATCCATGCGGTATAACATATGTGTTGCAAAAGCGCGGGGTGCAATGTATGCAGTGCAAACTGTGGGGTGCAACCATTGAGGTGCAGCCATGTATGTGGTGCAATCTATGATGTTCAGACAATGGGGTGCAACCTATGCGGTGCACTGTGGGTGGCGTACTATGAGTGGCGCAAGGAGCGTGATGCAGCTTATGAGGTTTACTCGATGGTGCGCAATCAAAACTAGAACCACTTGAGGTCGCTAACTCCATTGCTCGCAGTTAACTCCAATGCTCACACGATTCTTTCGCCCACGCGCCCGCAACTTGTTGGCACAACTTCAACTGGTGTAATACGCGAACGCCCTCCCCGTGCATAAGCCGTGTCTCGGGTGGACGAGTGCTGACGGTGATGAAGGCGATAACGTCGAGAACGACAACTACGACAATGACGATGTTGATGGGGACGCTTTGGGCGATGACGGCAAATATGGTGATAGTGATGAGAGTGATGGTGATGACAGTGACAGCGAGGACGCTGGCGATGACCAGATCGATGGTGTTGATAGGGTGATAGGGGAAGTGTGCAAACACAGAAATTCAGAAACCAAGATATCTTTGATTGGGAGGGGCCGTTTGGTTTTCAGGTGTTGTTGAACATCTATGTTTCCAAACATTTTGGCATCGCGATGGCTTTGGCAATATTTCGCCGTGCGCGCGCGGAAACCCGCGCGCATGTGGCCTGAATGGTATTCTTCAAAAGAGTTGACGGGTGCGCGATGATTGCTGCATGTTTTCGACACGCGCGCGAATGTGGCCAACATGGCCTGATTTTGCAGAACGGCAGCGCAGCTCTAGTTTCTTACGATGTCATGAAACGCGCGGGCTCCCAACAATCTGGCAACTTTTTGTCGGATCAGTAACCGATTTGAAGCTGTTGCTGAACGTGTGCATGTTGGGCCTGTGCAAGCACCAACACTGTTTGTTCCAGAAATGGTTGGACAAACGCGCGCAGGGTCGCGTGCACCTCGCCCACAAGGTGTTATTGCATCGGGATTCTGACAACACGCCCTTGTTAGATCAACGCGTGTCCGCCGCCAGATCATATTTCACAGAGATGAAGGGGGTTGGCGATATCAGCCTGGCTGGCTTGAGACTGATTTATACTGGCTACGGATGACCGTGCGTGATATGTGTGCCAGCATGGGCCCTTGACAGTGAGTTACTGCATTGTGGAGGTGAAGGCTATGCGGTGTAATCCCTCCATGAAAAACTTGAAGCCATCAACTCCAATGTTCGCGCGACCATCTTACCCTGCCATCCGAAACTTGTGAAGCATAACCCATTCGGCCACGGTTGCAATTCCCGATTGGAGCTTGCTAGCGCGTCTCTACGGCCGCGCTGGCGCGCGCACGCTCGCGCGCAGAGCGACCAACCGGCGTTTCGCAATTGATGCGGCCGCGATGGCGTTTTCGGTGACTCGGGGGTGCGGTACATGTTGACGGACGGTGACAACGGCAACAACGATGATGATAATAACGATGGTGGTGGCGATGAAAATGATGACGACGGCAAGGCCAATGACGGCCTCAGTGCTGGTGACGACTATGACAATGATGATGTGCATGTGTCGGTGCTGTGATTGTGATGATGATGCTGATGATGATGATGATGATGATGATGATTACGATGATGATGATGATGGCGGCAGTGACGGCGATTGACGAAGACGGTGCCGGCGATGATACGTTGGCGCTGATGGGGGTGATGAGGAAGCACGCGCGGGCGCAGACATTCAAGACATCAGGTAGACCTTGTGTTAAAACAACGCGAAATTTCGACATGTATGTGAAGAGCTCGATCTTCAAATGATTCGAAAACCGGTGGTTTCGGACGGGTTCCGACACGCGCGTGTGGCGGCGCGCGCATGTGGCTGCATGGCGTTATGTGAAACAGACTCGCGCGCTGGGCGCATGTTCGATAAATGCGGATGCACCGCGTGCTGAAATAAGGATGCGGGTTCAGGACGAAGCTGCTGAAATCATATGGTTCCCGATGGTTACAGCAAGTGCGAACGGGCAGAAGATCTACAATATCCTTCTTTTTGAACGCGCGTTTTTTGTTTGATGAAGCGTGATTTGATGTCGAAATGCTTGCGCCGGTGATGTGTGTTATCTCATTTCGGCATTTTTCGCGCATGTGGACTTTGCGGTTCAAATTTACATGGGGCTCGTGAACAATGGTGTTGAAATGCTCCGGTGTGCACACACAGAACTACTTGACTGGGATGGTGTGGGGTGGTCGATTCCTGGCTCATCAAGGATGGTGTGGCTTCATATGGCGGCTGAACGATGAGGCAGGTTCGAAATGAACATGGTACTGTCCCAGGGGGAAGGGATGAATCCAGCCTCGGGCGTGTGATATAATCTATTCTTCTTTAGAAGAGGATGTATATGTATATGTATATGTATATGTATATGTATATGTATACATATATATGTATATGCGGCGTGGGCTAATTGGTGCAGCCTGTGTTGTACAGGATATACGGTGCAAGCAATGTCCTGTCAACAATGTGGTGTGAGTTATGTGGTGTGGTCTATGCGGCGTCTGTTTTGCGTGAAGGCTTGATGGTTGTTGTTCCCACCCCTCCCTCTGCTTGGGTCCTCCTTTTGAATGGAGCCCTGTGGTCCCTATCCTCACCTTCTCATCCTCCTCGTCGCCTTCTACATCCTTATGCCCAACCCTCCCTCTTACTGGTCCGCGTTGTCATTCAAGTCAACTTGTGATTAACGAAAACATGGGGGCACGTTGTTCAAAGCATAGATTTTCTGCTCGGGCGAATCGCGGGGGGGGGCGCCCGCCAAATTGAAGCACACAGCGGCGGCCCCGGTGATGGGCGTCGACGTCCGTCCGATTGCAGAAGGGCGACAGGCGCGACGCAAGCGGAACCGCTTCATCGGAGGGGGACAGCAGCGCCTCCAATAAAGCGGGGCCGGTTAAGCCAACATGGCTACAGACAAGAAAGAAAAGAGGCAACGGGGAACGACGCGCCTTGGCTGGCGGGCGGTGCCGACATGGCTACAAGCAACAAAGGAAAAAACTCATTCCTTTCCTTTCCCCCTTCCACTACGACGTCCTACGACGACGTCCTACGACGACGACGACTACCACGACGACGACGACGACGAAGACGGCTGACGACGACGCACTACGGATGCTCCATGGGAGGGGGGGAGGGCAGGGGTGTTGCGTATGCCCGTTGTAATCGTCGTTGACGACGACGATGGACGACGACTCACTGCGGATGCCCTACTTGCTGTCAACGACAACGACGACGAGGACGAGGACGACGGCGACGACGACGACGCCGAGACCGACGACGCCGACGACGACGACGACGCGACCATGACGACGACAACGCGACGACGATGGCGGCGACGACGACGCACTGCGGATGCTTAATGTTGGTGGGGAGGACTGGGGGGTGCTGCTTAGGCCCGCTGTAGTCGACGATGATGACGACGACGGCGACCACGACGACAACGATGACCACGACGACGAAGACGACGACGACGACGACGGCGACGACGACTACGACGACGACGACGACCACGACCGCGACGACGACGATGACGACGACGTCAACAGCGCGATGACGACGGCGGCGACGACGACGCACTGCGGATGCCCCTTTCGGGGTGCTGCGTAACTAGGCCCGGCCCGCTGTAGACGACGACGGCAAGGACGACGACGACTGTGGCACGTCAGTAGTCAGTCTGAAAGGGGAAAGACTTCGCCTCGGATGTATAGGATCCGAAGGGGAATAGTTTTGAGGCTGCCGTGCAGGCAGGGGGGTACACGATCCCCTCGACGGCGCCCGCGACGACCCCTTGGCGCGCGCGCGCTTGCAAAAATGGTTTCGCGGCCCGCAAGGTCTATTCATAAGCCCCGCGGGGGTTCACTGGCTCACCACAAGCTGACATTCGAGCACTTTTCGTGCAACCTCCTCCCGCCCTCTCGCTTTTCCCTCCTCCTGCCTGATGCATCCGTGGGGGAGCTGCCACCTGCGCAACTGTCGCCAATTTCGTGTTCTCCTGGGAGGCCCAGCGCAGTTGGGACATGCGCAGGCCCAGACTAGACCTCGCGAGCCTGCGGGGGTGTTGCCACCTTCGAAGCGCCAAGGGAAGACCGACCAAATGGTCTTCGACAGCGTCCTGGACTATCACGTGTGGCTCCAGCGTCAGGCCACACACGTGAACGATGCGGTACGCCAATTCATGCACTACGTCGTCACGTAGAGAAGCACGGACAAGGCGGAC